TCAAAGACTGTGGGGATTATGTACAGGACAAAACATCTTTTGAATAAAATATGTTTAAAAAACTTATACTTTTCATTTATACATAGTCATATTAACTATTGTAATATTGCCTGGGCAAACAATCATTCATCTTTCCTAAAAAATATTTATACTAAACAAAAGCAAGCAAGTCGATTAGTTTTGGGCGCAGATAGGTACGAAAGTGCCAAGCCGTTACTCAAGGAAATTAATGCGCTAAACGTATACGAACTAAATATATACCATAACTTGTTATTTATGTTTAAACTTCAAAATGAACTAATTCCAAAATATTTTTATAAAGGTTTCTCTCTAATTAACCATAAATATGAAACAAGACACTCAATAAATAATTACTACATCCCACCAACATCACTCAAAAAATCTGACTTCTCAATTACATGTCGGGGGCCACGCTTGTGGAAGTCAGTTCTTGACGAAAATATGAAAAAAATAAAATCTATTGATATATTCAAAAGAACTATAAAAAAACACTTACTAAACTCAAACATTACATACATTCTTTCATTTTTTTAAAAATAATATTTTTTTGATAAATTTGATAAAAAGCTTTTTTTTTTTTTTTTTTTTTTTTTTTTTTTTATATATATATATACATATATATCTTTCTTGTTTGATTTTCTCTTTGACTGTTTTTTTTTTAACTTTTTTTAATAAATACTAACAAATGAATTTAAAGCTACATAACGTTTGGAATCTTTTTAATATATAAATATTTTTGAATATATACTTCGCTTTGTATTGAATATGTATACGTATATGTACTGATTTGTAAAAAAAAATTCAAACTTTTTAATTTACGCATTGTATACATTTTTATTTTTTTATTTCGAGATTTTATTATTATTATTATTATTTTTTTTTTTTCTTTCTAATTTTTACTTTTTTTAATTTTTAATTTATTTTAAACTTTTTAATTTTTTTCAATCTTTTTACTTTATTTCAAACTCTTTAAATTTTTTTATTTTTATTTTAATTTTGTTTGAATGTTTGTTTATTTTTTCAAAATTTTTAATTTAACTCTTTTTTATATTATTGGAATTTTAGAAATTTTATATTTCTCTATTTCACAAAAGGGCTTGATGATAAGACTTTATGTCTTCTACTTGCCCCTGTCAGCTTGTAATTATATATATATTTATTCGAATTTAAAGATAACATTGTAAAATGTGTAAAACGACAAAATAAAAAAAAAAAAAAAAAAAAAAAAAAAAAAAAACTAGAACGTCAGATGGTAAAAAACTGTGAGGAGCGATATAACTTTTTTTCAAACAGAATTGTCACCCCATGGAATGCGCTTTCGCAAGAAGCAGTGAACGCTCAATCCATCAACGCTTTCAAAAATAACAAAAGAAAGTAACTTTATAGATACAACTGCTGCTTTGTCTGTAGCGTCTGTATCTCCATGTTTGTCAGCATAGAGGGGCCTGGTGTAGCACCTCTTCATCAAATAATAAATGAATTTTTGTATTTGTATTTGATCACTGAAATAAATAAATAAAAAAATTGAAAAAAAAAAAAAAAATGTTTATTAAATGCCGTTTTGAATCAGCCTTAAAACGTTCCATTGAGCAGTTTAAGACAAATTCTAGTTTATCATTAAAAATGCGAGGAAAATTTTTCCAAACAAAAGGTCCTCGATATTGAATTTGGTAAGAACTTAATTTATGATGGGCTATGGGAATAACAAAGTTATTTTGTGAAAAAAAAAATTATTTTGTTATTAAAAAGTTTTAAATGTACATCAACGAATTTTTGTAACTTTTACGCTATCCGTAACATCTTAAAAGTTATTATTGAATACTTTTTTCAACTAAACTTCATTTATGTATTTGTTTAATTTGTTTAAATAAATTAACTTTGATTATTTTTTTTGACAAATTCTTTTTAAAGTTGTTTTATAGTGCAACAATTTGAATTTAATTTACAACCAAAAAAAAAGCTTTTTATCTCTTTCGCACCTATATAAAATATTTGTAAACAGTAAAAATATACATACTATACTGAAAATATTATATTGGGGATAAAAGGCATCATATTTACACTCCATAACTATATATTTTCAAAAAGATAAATAAACAGAGACTATGTCTCTTTTTTTTAAAAAATGAAATACTAATGATGGTGGATAAAAGATCACATGACTTTTGCAAATTTTTTTATTTTTTTTTATGAATTGGACCTCAAAAATTTAACTAAATATAATACCACCAAAAACAGTTTTGTACCATAAAAGGCATCAACTTGCACTTCAAATGTATATATTTTTTAAAAGATAAACTCATAGACATTATAAATCTTAAAAAAAAAATTAAAATATCAGTTATAGCGGACATTATAATCACACAAATTTTGCAAAAAAAATTTTTTTTATCAAAATCAAGCACTCTAAAAAAATTGTCAACTTAGGGGTCGTTTAAAACGTCACTAAATTTTCAACTAATTGAGACCCCTACCCTCTCCTTGTAATAACATCGTTACACTTTAGTAACAAGTTACGTATGAGTTGTCCATAAACCACTAACATCTCTCTCCCCTTCCTATCCTTAAAGCACGACGTAATTTATGAACCCCTTATTTCTATTACAGAGCTTTAAAAGTTAGTTTATTACGACTATTTTCAAAGCTGAGCATAAAGTTATCCTTTAAAGCATAAAATGAAGTAGTTTTGATTAATGGCTCTGATAAAAAAAACCTTTAATTATTGATTTATTACTACAGGTTGTTAACGACCTCGTTTCGGTGCGAAAGAGTTAAAAAGCATAGTAAGTACAACTGATAATTCTTTGAAACCTCTGTACTTTAAATTAGAAGCTTATAATAAATAAACCACTAGTTTGAATCCTAGAAAATATTTTTTCTTTTTTAAATTAGTTTTTATAGTTCAAATTAAATTCAAAACTTGTTTTACTTGTTTATCAGACCAATCAAACTGATTCCACAGTACACCTAAGAAGAGCTTAAGAAGACTTTAAGAAGAGCATTAAACTAAAAAGTTCCTACCGTGTTTTTTCCCAGTGGGCACAGACGTAAAAAAGACGTCTTTTGAATGTCTTATACACGTTTTGGACGTCTTTTGAACGTCTTTTGAACGTTTTGGACGTCTTTTAAACGTTCAAAAGACGTCTTTTTTGGTCTGGTGCCCACTGGGTTACTATATATTGGCAAAGAAGGCATTGAACCATTAGTTCTCTAGTTACTGTGCCATAAGTGTTGATCTATTTTTAAACTTTTTTTTAAACGCCATGGAACAAAATAACGTTGAACCAAAATTTTAAACACCAAAAAGTATTTTAGATATTTTATTTTACATTTTTTTCAACATCTTGAATCCAACAAGGCTTCAAGCAACCACTATTAGAGTTGGAAATAACTGGAAGAGAAAAGATGAAATTTACAAAGCAAGATAAAGAACAACAGACAACTTAAAAGATTGAAAATTATATGAGTCAGAAAAACAAGATGAAGGAAGCGAATCCAAACAATTGATGTTCGAGGGAAAGAAACTAGACAAATAAGAATTTTCGGAACACTTAGAAACAGTCACAGAAAAAGGATGAGACTTGATTGAATGACGAGTGACACAAGAATTAATTTTAGTGGATGGCGCAAAAGACTCTAGCTCTTTTGAGCAGTGTCCATTAAATTATTTATAGAAAAGAGAGAGAAGCAAAACTATAACGATGTAATAATGGTTGAAAATTGACTGCAAGAGCTGGCCCAATTATATTTACAATGCGTTTTTGCACCTTGTCTAAAAGAGAAAAGGCATCACTGGAAGATCCGTCTCAGATATGGCAACAGTATGCCATACAAGAAAGGATTTGTGATTTATGGAGATGAAGAATATAACTTTGAGTAAGAAATGTTTATATTTAATTATATTATTTATCAATATATGAACTTCAATTTTGATTTTATGATCACACATTTTCTTTATTTGTAGCTACTATTTCTCAACACAGGCCTATCATCTCAACCTACCACCAATTAATAGACTGCTACAAACCTTCTTTCTATTTTCAATTTTAATTTTCGAAAAAAAAAATAAATTATGTATATATATATATATATATATATATATGTATATATATATATATATATATATATATATATATATATATACATATATATATATATATATATATATATATATATATATATATACATATATATATATATATATATATATATATATATATATATATATATATATATATATATATATATATATATATATATATATATATAAACAATTTTAAAATGTATTCTACAAAATAGAGTGCTCAATGGTCTTAAAAAAACAGAGCATATATATACTTATACATATATATATATATATATATATATATATATATATATATATATATATATATATATATATATATATATATATATATATATATATATGTATATATATATATATATATATATATATATATATATATAAACAATTTTAAAATGTATTCTACAAAATAGAGTGCTCAATGGTCTTAAAAAAACAGAGCATATATATACTTATACATATATATATATATATATATATATATATATATATATATATATATATATATATATATATATATATATATATATATATATATATATATATATATATATAAATATATATATATAAATATATAAATATATATATATATATATATATATATATATATATATATATATATATATATATATATATATGTATATATATATATATATATATATATATATATATATATATATATGTATGTATATATATATATATATATATATATATATATATATATATATATATATATATATATATATATATATATATATATATATGTATATATATATATACATATATAATGTTTAGAATACTAAGAAATTTTTCAAGGCAAGTATAAAAACTTTCATTTATATTTATTAAATCTTTTTTTTCATAATATGATTAATTAAGATTTTATTCAACTTACAGCTTACAATCCCAAGGTCGCATGCTTGTGTGTCCATTGGATAATTTCGAAGATCAAATAAACAGTTCGCTTCAACACTCACTCTAGAAAGAACAATCTGGAAAAACTAATCTATTATACTTGTTTGTAAATGCCAAAAATTTAATAAAATATAAAAAATAACTGAGAGACTGGGTGTGCAAAAGTTGTACGTTCATATCATAGTTACTCTTGAAAATTATCAATACTCTCAGAAGTTATCTTGAGGTGCCCTATATAAGAAATTATATATATGTTTAAGTATGTTTATATGTATATGTTGACTTGTATGTGTGTATTTGCTATATATATATATATAACAATGCAAACAAAAATTAATTACTTCACGAGTAGACGAATCAACAAAAACTTGCAGTTGTTCACTGTTATCGATTTGGGATTGATGAGTATTAAATTTGTATTAAATAATTTTTATAAAATTAACTATAGGATAATGAGACTAAATAATAGTTTTCTCAAAGAACGAAGAAGAAATGAATATAAAAATGGAGATGAAAAAGGAAATGAAAAACAGTGAACAAAAGCGACCATTGATTTAGATGTTTAGATTTAGATGATTAGATTTCTGATAATAAGTAAGATCGAAAAAATTACCTTGACCTATAACGCATAATATACAATATAGATACTTATTTTGAAAATGAAAAACAATATAGTTACTTATTTTGAAAATATCCAGGAATTAAGAACTCAATAACCATGAATTCAATTAAATATTTGATATCTACTAAATGTGACAAGCTCTTACCACCACTTCTAACTCCCAACCAAAGTTAATTTATTTTAAATCTAAATTTAATAATTAAATTAGCTATAATGTATAGATATTTCACGCAGCGGTTTTCGATGACGAGTCCTGAAGGTCTTTCTTAAATGTCTGGGTGTAATATATTTGTATATTTGTAATACTTCTCAATTTGTAATAATCTCTTACTGTATCTTTTATTCTATTATCTTATTGTATAAATAACTAGAAATAAGCTATAAATAAACACACAAACTAAATAAATTTTTTAAAAAATAAAAGCTCACCGCACCCTTATGTACATATAGTAAATTTTATGATTACCTTAAACCCCAAAATACTTTTCCATCAGGATAGATGTCTAACTTCGAGTTTTTTACCGTAACACTGTGACTTGATGCTTTTTGAGCATTTAAAAAAACAGTATCTGGTGTCCAAATGAAATCTGGAGGGCTATCATGACCAAGATTTGGTGTTAGAATTTCTGGTAAGTTGTGACGTAGACGGTAGTCTATCCATTCTTGGCGTAAGAATAAATCTAACGTAAACATCTGAAAAGAAAACTAATTCATTAAAAAAATTTAAAAAAATTAACAAATTAAAAAATTTTCTATAACCAAAACAAAAAAAGAAAAGTATTATTAAAAAATTCATAATATCATTCGTCAATTTTTTTATCCAAAAGACGAATAAATAAGTTCAGTTTATTCTGCATTTTGATATGTCTTGAATTTTAAATAACAAGTGTAAATAATTTCTACAATGTTTTGAAAGGTTGAAATGCAATTTTAATGCGCTCAATCCGATTTTATCTAGGTTTTGCATTGTTACGTGATTGGTTTTACAAAGATCCTGATAATAAGTTAATGTTGGTATTACCAAGGTTTGATAAAATTGTGTGATAGATTTTGGATGAGCAAAACGGATTCCAGATTGAATAAGAGTTTGGGCAGCTGCCCGAAAATTAGATCATCTTTACCCGATCAATTGAGGCAAATGTAGAGTGCTCTGTATCCTATGTAACCCTTAAGTGTTTGAGTCTATTGTGTAAATTTTTCGATTACCATCGAGGGATAATGTGCAGTTTTGTTACTGTCTTTTACCTTTTAAAACTAAACTCTCATAAAACTCTGTTTTATGAGGGTTTAGTTTTATGCAATTTGAAATGCAGTATACATTACAAGTTTTTATTAAATTTTCCAGACCAGATAAAGTTGAGCTAAAAGTATAATATCATCAGCATATGCTATGACACCAGTAAAGTTACCATATATAGATGTACCTACATTACTTTCATTTTTAATGATTTTGAGAAGTTCCTTGGTATAAATGTTATAAAGGTATAGTGATAGAATTGAACCCAATCTCCTTGATTATGATAAAACTCATTTGATTTGTTGATAGGTATGAGACAGTTGCACTGCTGTTATAGTATAATAAAAAGATTGTCATAAGGTGACAATCTTTTCATTATACTTTAATAGCAGTGCTATCATGCAAAGGTGGCTTTTTATTGAAGTACAATATTTCAATAAAAATGTTAGATATTACAAGATCTGATTAAAAGATATTAGTTCAAATAATAAAGGGATTGATATCTGACAAGCCCAAAATAAAAGCGATGCAAAATCTATTAGTAAGCAGCGTAGTACATGGTTTTTCTGATATTTTACGGTTGCTACAGACAAACTTGCCTTTTGTTTAGAGGTTTGTCGTAATCAAATCGGCGTAATCAAAACTTTAGAAAGATCATACCATGTGTTATTTTTTCAATCCTTATTTATCATGTGTTATTTCTTTAATCCTTATTTCATTATTATAAAAATTGATAAGTTATAAAAAAATCTGCAATGTATTGGAGATATTTCAATGATTGCAGATATTTCAATGTATAGCAAATATTTCAATGTATAGCAGATATTTCAATGTATTGCAGATATTTCAATGTATTGCAGATATTTCAATGTATTGCAGATACTTCAATTTATAGAGTATTGTAGATATTTCAATGACAAGTTTAAAAGGAAAGCTTCAGGATAATGATTAAATGCCTTTCAATAAAATAGATTTTATTTTTCATTTAAAATTTTTTATTTTGTCAGTCAATACTTAAAAACAAAATAGTTTTAAAACTTTTTTAAGAACATTCAAGAAGGACAGTGTAATTTTTACGCGAATATATTATGAACTTATTTTGCTCCTATTATATCTGCAAAATAAGGTTGCCATTATTAGTGTTGCCAAAACCCTGTTATAGCATTATTAGTGTTGCCGAAACCCTGTTATAGCATTATTAGTGTTGCCGAAACCCTGTTATAGCATTGTTAGTGTTGCCGAAACCCTGTTATAGCATTATTAGTGTTGCCGAAACCCTGTTATAGCATTATTAGTGTTGCCGAAACCCTGTTATAGCATTATTAGTGTTGCCGAAACCCTGTTATAGGATTATTAGTTTTGCCGAAACCCTGTTATAGCATATAAACACGAATAAAAATATTCTTTTAAAAGATCATACCAATGCGAACATTTTAAGTTAAGTTAAGTTAAAAGTTAAATTACGCGGAGCGGGCGTGTTCCGTAAGCCCATCAACAGCTAGCCGTGCTAGCTCGTGCGAAATTGCACGGAAGATGATGCGCTGTAGTAATTATTAAAGCTGATCGAATTTTGCTTTGAAGCGATCGACACTGGTAGCACTGAATACTACGTTAGGTAATGCGTTCCATGGGTGAGCGACGCGGTTGTTGAAGGAATTATAGCGAACGAGGCAGTTGTTGTCCATTTCACGATGAAAACGCTTGCGATGACCGTAGCTAGGTGGGATGTTAGGTGGATCTATATGCCAGCCTAATTGAGTGCCAGCTAATTGAGTCAATACTGTTTTCGAATTTATATTTTTGAATGAGGTCGCCGCGTAAACGTCTATTTAATAGAGAGGTGAGACCGAGTTTGATGCATCTTGTCTCTTAATCGAAGCGCTTTATTTCGTGCGGTACTTTGGTAACCCGATGCTGAACACGTTCTATGACATTTATGTCTTTTTCAAGATGCGGGCACCAGGCAGTAACTGCAAACTCGAGATGTGGGCGTATATAAGTGGTGCGCGATTTTTGCAATAAGTTAGAAAAAACATTAGGTCTCAGAAAAATGTGTAAAAATCGGTAAATTAAAAACAAATGAAAAAATAATAAGAATTTGATAAATAACTTTCAATAAGATAGGTTACAATAAGATGTGTTATATTAGGCTGAGTTAAAATATAATGGGTTATAACAAGATTGTTTACAATAAAAAGGGTTACAATAAGAAGGGTTACAACAAGAAGGGTTATAATAAGATGGTTTACAATAAAATGATTTATAAAAAGATGGATTATATCAAGCTGGGTTACAATAAGATGGGTTACATTAAGCTGGGGTATAAAAAAGAAAAAGTTATTCTCTAAAAGTTTCGTATTCATTAGAAATAGAAAATTATAAATTTATAAGAAATTTCATTTCTTGCTAATGGAAAAAAACCATGAATCAAAAATAGTATAACTTTGTGAATGTTAGACTCGTTAATATTTACAGTCCAAAGCTCACGTTAAAGAGGTTTTCAATACGCTTTTTTATTTTTACTAAATAATATTATGCAAGCATATTTTTGCCTAATAAAAATTTTCCCAGGTGATGTTGCAATAAAAAAAGATGTTTATAAACAAAAAGTTTTTTTTTTAATGATTTCTAAGAAAAGGTTTTTTTTTATATAACAATGTCATACTTTTGTTTTATATAACATGGTCATCCTATTTTTTTAATATATTATTTTTGTTCTATATATCATATTCTATATAACATATTGTTCTATTTAACATTTTGTTCTATATAACACGGTCATACTTTTGTTTTATATATCATGGTCATACTTTTGTTCTGTATAAGATGGTTGTACTTTTGTTCTATATAACATGGTCATACTATTGTTCTATAAGTCTAGTTGAAAATAGTACAAAAAATATTTCATCAACTTATTTCTTTTCACATTTGGGGCAGGGGATGCAATAATTTTTAGGCTTTTTGTTCCCAGGCTCCAATCATTGCAATTTTTTGTATAGCATTTTTTATTTCATATAAGTATAAACACATAAATGTTTGGAGTTCGCTCCATGTCTTGAAGTTTTTGAAAGACCAAAAAATGCTGGATGCGCCTCTGTTTCTATATATCATGGTCATATTTTCTATAAACATCGTTATACTTTTAAAATTTTTCTTTATATATTAATTTTAATATTTTCAGAAACAATTTTTTTAAAATCTGAAATTACTCTTAGGAAGTTTATGGTCCTTATAATTGTTATTTTATTAACTATCGAATTGATAAATCGAAAAAATATCAATAACTTTTTCATTTGATTTCTCCTTATACCTTTTTCCATCATTTATTGACAGATTTCTTAGTATACCATATATTTCAGATTTCTTAGTATACCATAACTTATTTTTATAGTAAATAGCAATTAACTTTAGACAGGTTTTAAACAGTTTGCTAAAAATAAAGATTTAAAAAGACTGACACTTTTATATTCTTTTTTTTCACCCCAAATGTTTTTTTAAGCTATTTAAAACATTAATAGTATAGTAACTTTGTCGGTTTTTAATTTTTATTTAAACCGTTTATAAATTCTACATTAAATTAAATCACTTTTACTAAGTGTCAAATTTTATAAATACGTGTATAAATTTTATAAATACGTGTATAGTTTTTAATTAATGCTCCTGAAGTGTTGGACACTGGCTAAAATCCACTTAAAAACTTTTTGTCTTTAAAAAGTGAGATTGTTTGATGATTATTGTTTTTAGCAATTAAAAGGTAAAACAATGAATTGACAAACGTAAAATAATCGATAAAAACTCGTATCTGTGATGTAATTAAAGATGCATAATAAACAAACATCGTTTATAACTTTTAGGTCAAACAATTTTTTTTTAAGAAGCTAAATTTTTTTTGTCAAATTTAATTTTGTTTTAAAGATTGCAATTAAATAAATGCAAAAAATAAGTAAATAAAAATTTATTGCTAACGCAAATACCATGTTGACTTCATCTAGTTTTCCAAATCTCATAACTGTCATATCTAAGTTAATCATGGTCGCATCTCCTAAAAAAAATAATATTTAGTATTAGTGACCTTTAGCGAGTAAAGGAAATTTTTATGTTGGTTAGTTTGTATTTTAGTTCATACTTCTCTCTAAGAAAAAGATTTGTATGTTAATGTTAATTGCATTGTAATTATCATTGATATATATTTATTAGTCTGTTAGCGCTTCAGACATACGTAAATATTGTTTATGTATTTTTATTTGTAGTTATTAAAGTACTCCAAATAGCACACAGGTGTTATCACAGAGCACACAGGTGTTATCACAGAGCACACAGGTGTTATCACAGAGCACACAGGTGTTATCACAGAGCACACAGGTGTTATCACAGAGCACACAGGTGTTATCACAGAGCACTACGAAAAAACATTTAACCAGGAAGTTCTTGCCTCCTTTGTGTATCTATTTGTGAAATTTGTATTACATGTCTGTGTAATTTTTATCACATACCTGTGTAATTTGGTCTGATAGCTTTGTCGTAACCATTCATAAGAACTTTCCAAGTTTTATCAACATCTTCATCTCTGCCAAGAAAAATAAAGGTATTAACTTTGTGCTTCACAATAAAAAAAGCATTTTACCTGCTAAACAAAATACCTCAAATCCTTTTCATGATTAATACAGATGCTTCCAGGAATAATATTTAATACGACCAATATATGAAATAGTCTATAATTAAAATTAAAAACTAAAAACGAAAAAAAAAAAAATGAGTTTTAACATTTTAATATGTTACTAAGAAATCGGAACATTTAAATGGCATCGATATATAAATAGTTAACTGACAACTTACGCATGTGTCCTAATAAAGAAAATCATTTTTGTTTAATAATCCGTTAAAAAAAATCAAATCTTAAATGTTTTGTAAATATTAATATTACTATCAATATTTTATTATTCTATATATAGATGTATTAATACATTAAAAAATCAATGTTTTTCAGTAAAACATTTATATCGAGAAAAAATAGTGCATTGATATAATTCATTCTCAATAGCAATTCATTCTCTTACGCGTTTTCCATATTTATCTTTCTCTCAAAACCATAAAAAATATGAGTTTGAATCATTTATGTCAGTTTATATCAAACTGCGGTACCATTATTAATCACGCTGGGAAAATGGTAGAAAAAAATTTGTTAAACAACATTTTTTTGTTTTATAAGTAAAATAGTGTATTATCTTTAGTACCAAAATATGTTAGTGTAATAATCCAATTACGTTGTTTGACTACTCTGTTCGAACCATGTGGTTTGACAACAACGAAATTGTACTTGCAGTTTTTGACACATTTGGATTTGAGTTGATAACTGTAACCACTAAGATTGTAAGTGTGACCACTAAGGTTGTAAGTGTAACCACTTATGTTGTAATTGTGACCTTTAAGATTTCAATTTTTTGGTATTGTTTCAGCGAACGTTTGCTGATTTTTTAGAATCATAACATATTTCAGATCATTGAAAATTATGAATGCTTTAATGTTGTCTCTTTTTACTCACAACTATACCAACTATTTTTTATTATTTGTACAAATTTTATAAAAATAACTCTCAACATCTCCGGGGGAACGTTGAAATTTTTTTGTATTTTGTACCTTACTAGTGTGTCCTGAAAAAAAAAAAAAAAAAAAGAGTTACTCAATTTCTAAGATATTTTAGGATTTTGAGATTCTGGTAGCATCCCCCTCCACCCTCCTGAAATTGTGGCTGACTACTTTTACAACTTTCTGACTTTTAATCAGAAAACAGTTTAAATGGCACATTTCATTTTCACATATATATATCCTCATATAGGGTAAAGTAGTCTAATAACGCAACTTTTTTACATTTTTATTGATTATTATAATGTAAATATTACGTTTTTGAAAAAAGCTTTTTTTTATTATGGTATGATTGGTCAGGTATAAAAAATCTTTTTTTTTTATCATTTCAGATTTGTTTCTCTCAACTGAAATAATTTTATGGAAATATCATTTTTTGAAAAGTTACTGATGGCGATTAAGCTTTATATGCGTCCTGTAACGCCACCCGCAGACTTTTTTATATTTTGCTATTCATAACACAGTTAAGTTAAAGATGTGATTTAAAATGAATTATTATTTATTAAATCATATTATTTATTAAACTTTTTATTACAAATGATTATAATCTAATCATTTGGTTGCTTTCGCTGAATGAAAAAACGTATCATTATCAACTTTAATTCTTTTTTTCAATGATTTTTGAGTTTAACTTTAATTATGTTTTGTGACCATTTTTGTATGACTCGGCCCGGGCAATTTATCCTCAACTAAAGCTTGATCAACCATAACAGCTTGCATGTTAAAGGACCTTCTAGTAGTTACTTTTCTAATTATTTTTGGCGATTGAATTATTGCACGGATGCTAGAGGCAGGCTTTGAATAATATTTAGTATATGTAATATTTAGTATATGTAATATTTAGCGGGATAATATTAAGGTTAAAATGATAGATTCCTGTAAATCTGAATACTGATATGGCATGAATTGTTGCGGTACGCAACCAAGCTTCAATAAATATTAGTGGAAATTGCAGTTTTGACAGTGATCGTCCACGAAAGTTTCTTCGGAAATAATCAATGCCAACATTTCACCAAGTTTTCAATGGTTTGAAAACACTTTTGTAGAGAAGTTGAAGTTTATGACTATAATGTTGTGGAAGGTATATAAATGTTTAACTTTTTGGCTTCCTCCATCAAAAATAATAAGTTTTCTCGCATTGAATCGCATTAACCTTTCATAACTCAAACTTTCACATTTCCTAGAAGCAATATCAGAATGGCCCCTAAGAAGTTCTGTCAGTTTACATTTGTTATCATTGTAAAAAAAGTCACTTTTACAAATGCAAACAATGTTACTGAAAGAATATTGTACTGACTTTATTTTTAAAATCTTTTACAAGTGAGGACAAATTGATATTATATTTGAACACAAACAAATTAGTATTTAAAATAATGAGCTTATATCCAGTGGACACAGGACCTAAAAAAGACGTCTTTTGAACGTTCAATGTACGTCAAAACGTTTTAAAAGATCTTCAAAACATTCATAAGACGTTTAAAAGATGTCTTTTTTACGTCCAGTGTCAACTGAGTAAAACCTTTAAGTTTTTAATTATTTCAATCAATTAAGGTTTGAAATGACTAGAACCGGTCTTTAAAATATATAAGACATGTTTCTGTTGAAACTAAAATGTTTACTTTAATAAGTTGCACCCTTAGCATTGCTAGGGGTGCAACTACCCCTACCTGCTACCCTACTACCTGTTTGCTTAACTATTTAACTAGCAATGCTTATTTAACTATGGATAAAAAAAAAATTATTTCAATATAAATCAATGTTTATTAAAACGCTTTTTGTTTTGCGCAATGTTTCAAACTATTTGAAATTTTACTGGAAAGGATTTAAATGTGATTTTTCGAAGTAAAAAATTCATCAACTCAAATACCTAAAAAATTTAATACTATTACTTTTTAAATGTGTATTAATAAGACACAAAAGCCATATCAACTTAGGTCAATTTGCACTTATGCTAATTCGCACATATGCCAATCTTTGCAAACTTTTCCGGCGCCAACTCGCAATTAAGCCGGTTTGCACTTATGTCAGTTTTTGCAACTATTTTTAACTTATGCTTGTTCGCACTTATGCCAATGTTTGCAAATTCTATAGGCGCACTTATATAAGTTTGCACTTGAGCCAGTTCGCTCTTATGCAGTTTTTGCAAGTGCTTTGCACTTATGCCTGCTCGGATTTATGAAATTACCACTTATTCAGCTTCCCGTTATAAACATTAGGTAAAAATTAATTTGAGAGGAAGGTGCAGTTGATGCGCCGCACTTAGGCTCATAAAGTTTTAAGGCCAAAATTCAAATTTTATTAAAGGTTTTTGTTGTTTGTCGTTTAGGCAATAGGGTACAAAACAATAAAGTTTTTTAGAACAATCAATTATTAATTAAATGTATTGGTTTAATAAATGCGATGTAGCTTTAAGTTACTGAAATAAAAGAAGGCCATACACCACGAATACACCACGAATACACCAAGAATACACCACGAATACACCACGATTACACCACGAATACACCACGAATACACCACAAATACACCACGAATACACCACGAAATACACCACGAATACACCACGAATACACCACGAAATACACCACGAATACACTACGAATATAAATCTTTTTATTTAATCTTTGCTAATGCTCGAATAACTCTCGAAAGCAAAGTAAACTTCAATTTAAAAAAGAATTTATAAATGAAGGAATCTAAAATAAACTAAATAAATATTTAGTTTTACTTTTTTTCTTTAGTTAAATATTTCTTAGCAAACTTCACATATCCAATTTTAAATATCGTAGTTAACAATACTCTATCAACTTAATACGCAATTTTTAATTAGTTCATTTTCAATTTTTTTGAAATGCTTTGTTTTTTTAATTTGTTATTTTTTCTTCATGTCCAAGTTTTTAATACTGTTTTAGATATAGTGGATGAAGATGATGACTGATATAAAATAAAACTCATCCTAGAAAATGATTTTTTATGTTTTCAGAAGTTTATCAAATTAATATTTTTAAGTTTCAGCCCGAAAAATTTCTTATTGTTTAAATTTGGAGCACAAAAAAGAGAAGAAAAAAATAATGCGTTATTATTTTTTTATACATCTTCGCTTCCAACAAGACTGCAAGCAACCACTAATTAGTGTTGAAAGTTACTGGAAGAGAAAAGATGAAGATTGTAGAGCAAGATAACGATTGACAGACGACTTAAAAGATTGCAAATTATATGAATCAGGAAAGCAAGATGAAGGAAGCGAATTCCAAAGAACTGATGTTCGAGAAAAAAAACTAGACAAATAAGATTTTTTGGAGCACTTAGGAACAGTAACAGAAAAAGGATGAGACTTAGTTGAATGACGAGTAACGCGAGAATGAATTTTAGTAGATGGCACAAGAGACGCTAGTTCTTTAGAGCAGTGCCCATTATAGTATTTGTAGAAAAGAGAAAGAGAAGCAACATTACGACGATGTGACAAAGGTTGAAGGTTGGCTCCAAGAGCAGGTCCAACTATGTTTACAATGCCTTTTTGCACCTTTTCTAAAAGAGAAAGGGCATCATTAGAAGATCCGCCCCAGATATGGCAACAGTATTTCATACAAGGCCGGATTTGAGATTTATAGAGATAGAGAATAGAATCGAGAGTAAAAAAGTGTCGAGCTCGATAAAGAGAAGCAACTTTAGCAGATGCTAATTTTGCAACGGATTTGATATAAGGTTTCCAAGAAAGATCAGAAGTAAGAGTTAATCCTAGGAGATGAAGGATAGGAGACTTATCGAGTACATTACCGTTCATAAATATAGGAAGGTCTAAATTATTGCGATAACAATTGGCTGAAAAAAATTAAGTTTTATCTGAATTAAAGTTCACCAGCCACTGTGAGCCCCATGCTGTAGCAGAAGTGAGATCCTTTTCAAGCTCAGATCCCCCCTGCAAGCAATCAGAGGGAGTTGGCTTCTTATCATGACAAGAATAAATGGTAGTATCATCAGCGAACAATGCCACATTAGATGTATAGAGTATAGGGCCAAGGATTGAACCTTGAGGAACCCCTGAGGTTACAGAATAAGAAGAAGAGTGCTGTCCATCAAGGACAACTTTTATACTACGATTGAAAAAGAAGGATTCAATAATCTTAAAGATGTTTCCAGATACACCGTAAGAAGAAAGCTTATGGAGAAGACCAGCATGCCAAACTTTATCAAACACTTTAGAAATGTCAAGGGCGATGGCCTT